GGAAACGGGCTTCCATAAAAATGTGTGGGAATGTAGAGCAGACGGTGTTGGTAGTTGAATTTTAAACAATGTTGCAACTTTGTGCGCGAGCAGGAGGGGAAGAAAACACTACCAGCAGCACCAGAAAGGAGGAACACAGAGTGTGGGAACACAGGACCTACACTTTCAACACTTTTACTAGACCTGGGTCCAGTGGACCCGAACACCTTGTATGTAATGTAAATGCGTGGGGGGAGGTACAGCATTCGGTCATTGAAAATTAGTTCGGATTTATGTTCTTCACAGAAAATAAGCCAAAGCCAATGAATTTCAGGTTGAAAAAATAATTCATTGTTTAATTTTTCTCTTGAGAAAAACTGAAAACGGGTCTCACAGACCCGAACACCATACAAGGGTTAAATAAACCTACTAACGTGATATCTGTGTACCAGGGCATAACTTTAGCTTTAACATGCACAAACAACTATAACTATTATCATACCAGTTAACCTGTCAAAAGTAATAACACTTACAGTTTCATTAACGCACACGGAATCACACAAACTGCGTTACAACTGCCATGATCTGCCGCTGCCTTTTGCCTCTCACTCTCCCTCTGCGTGATGCGCACATGATCACTGATGCGCTCCTTTGGGTGCGCTTGATTCTTGCCTCTAGACATCCTGAGGCCGAGTCAGCAGGGAATTTGCACACCATCTCTCCTCACCAGACCAGGTTTCCCCCAGAAAGCTTCTTAATTATCTATGAAGCATGATGTTTTTTGGACACCACTCAGAGAGACAGCAATTTAAGGAGAACCTGTCAAGACTTGTTCAGGTGAAATCTAGTTATACAACAACAACCATCATGAAGTAAAGACGATCTTCAAAAAAGGTGATCCAGAGTCCATCATAGCTTTGACTCAGGGTGGAGGAAACCTTGATTTACACACGACTCACACGTTTTCAGATACGAGACTCGGTAGGAAGAGAGCAGGAGTGTCTGAACAGCAGCCCAGATTAAAACATCCTTCATAGAGGAGAAAAACTGGTAGGAGGTAGAACTGGTGGCCACCAGTATTTCTGTTCATGATATGCAGTCACAATCTGAGTGTTACAATAACTTTTTGTCTTCAGTTTCAGATTCCACTGGATGGGTGGTTGCTGGTGTTGTCAGTGTTGTTTTGGTTGGTGTTTTGGTCGGTGTTGCTGTTCTTAAAGCCAAAGGATATAATTGTAAGAAAGGTAAGTTTTATTAGTGTATTATATTACAATTTCTGATAAAACTCAGGAGCATTTTAAATTATTTATATCTGTTTGATCTTTATAACAAAACCATTGATCTTTTCAAGTATAAATCATTTGGTGTCTTTCAAACTAATTTTGTTTTCCTTCCTCGAGATTCACCAAGAGAAACAAGTCTCTCTTCTAATTCAAGGCAGCAGCATGATGATGACTCTAAACAGCCTTTGGATGAGTAAAGTGTGTGTATGCGCATATGTTTGTTTGTTTGTTTTATATCTATTTGTAAATAAATTTCACTTTAGGAGTTGGACAGTGAAGCATGCTGATTGCTGTTTTCTGATTTCATGCATTTTGAGAGCTCAGACCTTTCTTTTACAATTAAGTTGTAAAAGAAAGCGCTTTGTGGATGAGTTGGGGTTTGATGTTGATGATTAAAAAACGGACCCGGAACCAGGTTTCATCATGTCGTCACTTAAAGACCAGATATCCCACCTGCTGTGTATGTTTTAATGCAGTACAGTTGTTATTATTATCATTATGTCACATCCTGTTTATGACAGTTAAAATAAATAAAATTACCGCTAATCAATTCAAAGCTGTTTTTAACCCCTTCCGATCTAACTACAGCCCAGCCCATGCAGCAGTATATGAATGACTAACCTCGTATTGTGGATGGATTATCTCAGTTGTTTACTCTTCTGCGTGAGTAGGTATTTATCTTGCAGTGCTTGTCTCTCTCTGTGAGCAGTGACAATAGTCCTGTGCCTTATGGTCTTATTTTGGCATATCATGTGTCATCTCGGCGTGCCAGTATCGACCTTGGACAGTAATTACGTACTCCCTACACCGAGCCTAACTTTTATTAAGTGGAAAAAGAGTGATCTAGACTCATCTCGTTTATATGGTAATGCTAAACAAATCTTTAGTCAAGTGGGAATAGATACAGGTGTAGCTTAGCTGTTCTATCGCTAGCACATTCATATATTATATGCTAACATAGCGTGTCCTATAGCTGACTAGCCCTTCGGAGCGTTCAACCGCTTACAAAACGCTATTCACTAGTCTTGTCAGTTTATTCTAGTCTTCATTTATGTTGTGAAAGTGACCAGCCAGAGCTGTTTAGTTTTCTGTCTTCATTTATGTTGGAAGTGAAGCAGAGCTGTACGTTTGAATTTTTCAGAAATCTCTCAGTCAGAACATGCTATATCATGTTTAGGTGGAAACTAGCGAGCTAACTTCCTGCTAACTTCATGTTATGTAATAAATTCTGTTTTCATGGATGCCTGGATGTTAAACTCAATTGTTACACCTGGTAGAGCAGCAACGCTGATCATTTTATTAAAGATGAAAGACTTTAGACAGTTTGTAACTCTCAGTGATGCCGCAGTGATCGTTTGACTTTGGGACCTGAAGCAAAGTTTGGGCTTGAGGAGTTATCCTCTGCTGACTAACAGCACTCACTATAAGCACACACAGCTCTCTGCAGTAATTATCAAAACACAAATCAAACCAGTTCCTCCAACATGCAGATAATTGTATCGCTTAATCTTGTTTACACTCAGTACACTTTCTGTGGAATACGTTTGACTTACGGCTTTGTGATTGTGATAACCAACCAATCCAAACACAGATTTCTCTGGAATACGTTTGACTTACAGCTTTGTGATTGTGATAACCAACCAATCCAAACACAGATTTGAAGTTTAAATAGAGAACCGGTTCCTCCACGCTCTCCTCACTAGCTTTGATTGGCTGTAGAGATGAACTTCAACACACTGAAAGCCACATGTTATTCTTCAATCACTGGTCTTAGTTTCAAGTTTTATTTGACAAAACATGTTTATTTTGTAAATGATGGTCCTGTTAGAGTCAGAATGATAAATCAGGGCAAATGATATCAGTAGATTTGAATAAAAACTTTATTTGAGTCTAATTCTAATTGTACTCAGATTGAATCAGTTCATTAGAACATCAGCAGAGAAAAAGAAGGAAGATTATAGAGGAAAAACAAGAAGTTTATCCTGCACTAACCTGCTGAGGATTTTCATGCAGCCTTTAAAAATAACACAGTGACTTTTATCCAAAGTCCTCACAAAATCACGTTGGACGTGTTTCTATTGTACTGACTAATTTTAATCTCACCACTGTGCTTTCTGTAGTTTTTCATTACATCCTTTTTATTATCAATTCCTTCTTAAAATGTAATTAGTACTGTGCAACAGGAGAGCAATTGTGTTGTATTATCATTCATAAAATAACAATATTAATCTTCCAAAGAGCTTTTTTGTATGAATAAACTTGACATAACTTCAGGTTTGAGGCTCATAAACATGAAAAAGACGTTTAAGAAGAACAAATCTCTCAACAGCATCAAGTCTTAGTGGTAAATGGGCTCATGTGGGCACGACTGACCACACTTGGTCAGCACTTTTCTGTGCACACTCACACACTCATGCAGCCTTATATGATATCCGAGAAGCACTTTGATTATATGGCACATACGAACGATAAATCAGACACTTGTTTCCTGGTACTTTGTTCTGGTCAAAGTACTCGACTCAGTTTAAACACAACTGCTGCCAACAGCTGAAGATCTGTTTGCCTTTGTTTTTGTCATTTTCACCCTGATGCTGGCATGTAGTAGAGATGAAGGGATCTTGTGTCTTTGAGAGTTTCATACCACCAAGCTTTGTGGCTACTTCCGTCCACAACTGTCACTGGAAACCTCTAAGCTGATTGCTTATGAAGTCAAGATAACATGCTGTACAAAGGCTGACGTACGAGGCTGTTATTCCACAGGCTGTGATATCTGGGAAATCAGGGCTTCTGTGCACAGTCAGCTTGTTGTGAAATCTATTTTCCTCACAGGTGTGTCATTCAGAGGAAAAGTGGGAGTGCCGGGATTTTCTAAAATCTGTAAAAATAACAATAATAAAAAGATATAAAGAAGGAAACGTGTTTTAAAAATACAAAGTCTGTGTTATAAAACATGTAAAAACAAAAGTCTGAAATAATGAAAATTTATATTCATATTGATTTCTGAGGAAGACAGTAGGACATGAAAAACCATCTGTCCAAATGAAGGTTTACATTCACAGCTGACTTCCTGTAAACTGTCAGCAGGAAATCTCTGGGATCAGGTTTACAGACGTAAAAACCACATGCATTAAGTCTTATAAAAAGATTTCAGCTTCCTGTGGAGACCATAACAGGGTTATAGCTCAGCTCAGTGGGTGGATGAATCATAGCTCACTTTATGCTTTGAATTTCTTTGGACACAAACTGTAACCACGCCCACATTCTCAGGTTCTCAGTAAACATTTTATTGCCGGATATAAAAAAGGTCTAACAGTTATTTAAGCTGTTGTGAATGACGCGTTATGTCATAAAATCTGAAGTCTACCTGTTGATTAAGCTAAATGAGACACTGCGTGTTTTTATAATTCAGCTGAAGGCTGTGAGTCACACTTTATAACACTTCTATTGCACCCTTACATATGATAACATGACAGACTGAAACTGACCAAAGTCAAAAAACCTGGAGGTCATGAAATAGTGCAACACAAACATCTGTGAAAGGCACTGAAGCTCAGGAGACAGTTCTTCAACCTTTCAGGGGGCCGACCTGGAGGTCGAGGGCACAACAGTCTATAGTTCAAATGTGCAGGGGGCCGGCCAAGAGTCCAACAGTGGCCACGGAGCAGATCAGGGGGGCGACCACGTGGTATGTGGCGGTGGCTAAGCAGGCATGACTGACCACACTTGGACGGCTTGGCTGGCGGTGACATGGGCGTGTACGAAAACCCTCGGGTGGCTTTGCAGGTGGTTGACGATAGTGTGAATGCGAAATGTGACACCTTGGGTAGTTTGGTGGGTTTCCGTGGACGGGCTGTCTTGACGGGCCCCGGACGTGGACGTGCTGGACGTGGACGTGGCTTGGCAGGCAAGATGAGACTAGGCATGGCAACACCTCTGGCTGGGTCAAGACGAGACCCGGTGGCAGCATGGTGGCTGCAGGCGATGGAGCAGGTGGTGCCGCTGCAAACGATGGCGTGGACAATGTCTCCTGGGTTTAAATGAGTCTAGATCTCTATTTTTTTTTTAAATTTCGGTTCGTCATGATGATCCGTGACCACAGACGGGATTTCTGGAAGTCTTCCTGTGCACTGATTTCCATCACAGTCTGAAGTCTCAGCTTTACAATACTGATTTTCAGTCCGTGAGCACGGAGAATTCTCCAGATCCTCTGAATCTCCTGGTGTATTTGCATAAATATTAAGAAAGATTCGCAGTTTTACATTGAGGAACATTTATTCTGAAACTGTTTCACAGTTTTAGCAGACTGATGAACCTCTGCCTCTGTAAGATCATCGTTTTACACCTGATCACATCACTGACCTGCTTCCGTTTTACCAACTGTTCCTCCTGCTGTTTCTCACTCAGCCTTGTGTCGCCTCTCGTTGTCGGTGTGCAGATCCCTGTGCTCTGTTTTTATTTACAACTTTTTAAATTCTGGCTGCACTGTTAAATGTTAGAACAACATTATAGTCATGAGAGCCCCATGTTGGCTAACACTTCTTTCCAGCAGCTTCTTGATTCTGGACCTGCAATCATCTGCAGATCTTTACTGTATCAATGCACAGGTTTGTAGAGTCAGAGCTCTCATTGTTTAAAAAAGGTGTGAATTTGAAAATAGATCCACGGTTATGTGATCCAGTGTAATTTTGTAAAAGTTCACCACTTTGGCACAATTTGAAGTTACTGTGTGTCAGCAGAGCATTTGTTCAACCCTCTTGGTCTTCACCTGGAATAAACATTTTTGCTGATCTATTTGACGCTCAGGGCCTTCGTTCATTTCAGGACTTAGGGACACTTTTTCCCTTCCTGCGTCTTCTTACTTTGTGTACCTGCAGCTCAGATTTAAAAGCATAATCCCCTGGGACTCTCCCCTCCATTCTCATCCCATGCTGGACTGAATCTTGCCCAAATCTGTCAGATCCTCTGTTTCCATAATTTACAACAAATGAGCCGAACATGATGTAAATCCTCTGCCCACTGAATCTACTTGGATTAGGGAACTGGGAGAACAACAGGTTGATATAGACTGGGACACAGTGTGGACTAGTCTAAGTTTGACTTCTGGGAACTTGGCACATCAACTAATTCATTTCAAAACCATCCACAGAACCTACATTACACCCTATAAGAGATCACAGATGAAGCTACAGGCTCAATATCACCGTCACATGTGCAACGATTCATCACCAGGCATGTTCTTACACATGTTCTTACACATGTTCTTACACATGTTCTTACACATGTTTCACATGTTTTGGGCCTGTCCAGTTATATCTGACTTTTGGGTCTTTGTGAACTCTGTGTTATCTGAGGTACTGGAAGTTTTTTATATCCTCAATCCTGGTCTTTGTCTCCTTAATGATTCCTCTGAC